TTAAGCAATATTTTAAATTTTTTTAATGATTGCTTACTATTGTCACGTGAATGCGTATGTCTGAGCTCCAGACTTAACAACGGCTGTTACTGTTTCCCTAGTTTATTAAGAAATTTTATAACTTTATTAATAATAAAATAATTAAATCAATTTGTAAATGTATGAATTTTTAAGAAATTTTTAAAAAATTATAATAATTTTTTAAAACTTAATTTAAAATTGAATTATTTAAAATCTTATTAAACTTAAAATTGCTTTTAATAAAATTAATAAAATATATATTAACTATATTTTTCATATAATTATTATATTACTAAAATTAATATTTAATATCTTATTAAGAAACTAATACTTTTTTTAAATTTGTAAGCAAATTTAGTTATTAAATAATCTAAGAAATAATTATAATTAAATAAATAAAATAATATTAAATATTAAAATTTAAAATAAAATTAATAATAATTTTAAATATTTTAAAATAAAATTATTTATAAAATTATTAAACAAAATCTATTTACATAATTTAATCTATATAGATTTATATAAAATTATTAAAAAAAAGATATAAAATAGGTTATATATATAATTTTATTATTAAATTATATATTAATGATATTGATTAAGTTATTAAATTTTATAATTAATTTTTAATTAAAAATTTAAAATTAATAAATTAATATTTTAAAAAATTGAAATCTTATATTTAATATTTAAATAAATTTAATAAATAAGATTTAAGTAATATTAACTATTAAATTTTAAATGATTTAATAAAAAAAAAATTTTTTTTTAAGATCAATTTTTAAATTTGATTCAAATTTTTAAATCAATATTTAATTATCAGGTAAAACTTAAAAGCTTAATTACTATTATAAATATTGAATCTTTAAAAAATAATTAATATAAAGATTCTTAATAGACTTTAATCATTTTGATAACATATTCTCACTTTCTTTTAATCCACATTTTTTTAAATTTCACTATGATCTCAGAATGGATTAATATTTATATATTTTAGATTAATCTAGAAATTTTTATGCCTATATATCGAACTTACATTTTTTTGTTTCGTTCACATTGGTAGTAATACTTTGAAAAGTAATAGGTAGAAATGGGATTTATGGGTAGAGCTGATTGTGTATTTTTAGTAGTACTATGCGAGGAGAAAACTTAATTTGTAAACAATGTAATTTATATTTAAATGAAATTTATAAATGCGAGGCCAAACAAAAAAAAGTATATAATCCACAAAACTCCGAACCCATATAGGAGTAGGTATCCTGCAACATATGCATCTGATAATTAAATTTACTTTAATGATGAGGACATTGATCTTCAACATCCAAATGCATCAATACTTCTTTAACACTTTTACATTCTTTCTTAACAGCTTGTCTAACTTGTTCTTCAATGTTATGAGCCTTTGATATTGTCAAATCCGGATTAACTTGTAATATCATATCAATTAAATAAAACGGGCCTGATTTTCTACCTCTTATACTATGGAAATTTACTATATTTGGATCAGTACCCTAAAAAAGATTAAATATTAGTACATATTTAAAAATAAATTTAGTCAACATTTGTTATCTTACCTTTAATTTTTCAACAGCTTTTTCAACTTGATTTATAACTTCCTGTTCAACTCTTATATCAACCAATTCTTTTAATGAATCTAACATAATTTCGAACCCACTCTTCATTATCATTCCTGCTACTAGCATTCCACCTAATGGATCAAGAAACGGAAATCCAAGATAACTTCCCACAATTGCTCCAAGGGCTACAACACTTGAAGCAGCATCACTACGATGATGCCTAATAAAATTAAATGAGTAATCAGACATCTATTTATCATTATCAATTTAGAATTCTTGAATGAAAAATTATACTTACCATGCATTTGCTACTAAAACATTAGATCTTTCTTCCAATCCAATCTTCAACGCTATAAAATGCAAAAATGTTAAGTGTAAGTTACAAATGATTAGTAAAAGAATGTTTATCATCGTATTACATACTTATTCGAAATAATGCTTCTTTTATAATAACAGATGCCGCGGCAAACCAAGCTGCATTGGGATTCAATTGATGATTTTCATCAGTTTGCAAATTTATAGCTCCACCAAGTTCATTTATACTATTGGGTATTTCTGACGGAAAAAGATTAATTAATATTTCGTAGGAATGATGACCAATTCCAACTGCTCCGATCATTAAAAGTGAAGAAACTGCCAGTGATCCAATGGTTTCATATTTTCCTTCAAAAAATTTCAAAATATAATAGTTTAATATATATTTGTCAAAAATGAAATCTTGTTTATTTATATTTACCGTATCCATAAGGATGAGTTGCATCAGGGGGACTATGACGAAAATATAGTGTAACATATAGGAATATTAACATGAATATATAAAATAAAGTTAATAAAAAGTGCTATTTACCGCCTAGATTTTTGAAAAGTGTATAATGTTACGAAGTCGCTTATTAAGTCTAATTAAATTTTTTTTATTTTTTTTTTTAAAAAAAAATTATGATTAAAGTGTTTTTTTTTTTGATTTAAAAGAAGCTGTTATTAACTATGATACTTGCCACTAAGAGAATGCGCAGCATCTGCTATTAATGACGCGGAATTCATCACCCTTTTTTTGTGAATTTTTTTTTTTTAATATATATAAAAAAATAAAAAAGACCGATCATTTGAGTATTCTACATACCATCCAGCTGTACCTTTTGCTGCGGTTAAACCGATATTACAAGCAAGTCCTAATAAAGTAACTTTTGTTCCACGACTTTCTTGTTATTAAAAAAAAAATTTTTTTTGATTAATATAAATTCAGAAATTTTGCTAAATTAATCAACTTTTTAAAAAGTACTACTTGGATCAGAAAGAACAGAGACTAATCCTGAATCGTCGTGATCTTGATGTGGACCATGATGATGATGATGATGAATATGCCATCTTTTTTGTTCATTAACAAAAATTGATTTTTTTATTAAATTTTGATTCTTTATACTTAATATTCTTTGATTGTATAAATTTGAAAATTTTAATAAATTATTAGAAGTTTGGCTTCGATTGTTCAACCGAGATTTGTATGGTGAATTTGTTGAAAAATGCTGTATATTTGTTATAATGGAAGAGGTTAAAATTTTGAAAGTTCTCGTAATTAACATTTTGGAGTGGAGTTAAGGAAATGGAACTACTTGGTTCTTAAAATTGAACATTTTGACGGTTAATGAAAATACTTTAATTGGTTAGATGAAATAAAATTGTGGCAATTTTTAAGCAATATTTTTTGGTCGAAAAGTTTTTTATTGGTCCAGTCATGTGTCTAACAAAAAATGATCGTTATAAAATTTAAAAACCCATTGAAGAATTATTTCCTGATTGATAAACTTCACCTAACACTAATTGTAATGAGGATCTTATATGAAAGTAGACGATGAACAAACAATTGTGATTTGTAAAATCATAACCATAGTATGACCGTAGCTAGGGATGTTAAAAATCCCAAGAAAATTACAAAGGATTATTTTTACAAATTTATTATGAAACTTGTCTATTATAATATTTTAATGAGCTACTTATGAAAATAAATAATAAACCCATCTTGGAATCCCAGAATTTCTTAAATTTTAAAATTTTAGGATTTAGGAAAGGGTCCCTAGGACCAGCGGTCCCATAAAATTTGCCAATTTTGAATATCATTTTTAGTGACATTATAGTAATTTCTTAAAGCGTAATAGGGATGTTAAAATCCAGTCCGGTCCTAGTCCGGTCCCGAAACTCCCAGTCCTAAAAAAGACCGGTCCATAGGACTTGAGTCCTAGGACTGGATTCTGGGACCAGGTCCCGAGACTGCAGTCCTAGGACCGCGGTTATATAGAAATTAGGACTTGCGATCCTAGGACTCGGTCCTATAGTTCAAAGGACTTTGAACTGGACCGGACTTCGTAGGACTGTTTAGGACCTAGTCCCATGGGACTTTTTAACATCCCTAAAGCGTAAGGACCTGTTAGTCTTGCTTTTTTTAAAAACATCTTTCGTTCATTAAACTAAATTTTTATAGTTTAAATTATTCAGTAAAAAAAAATCATGTATCATAGTTTATTTTCTTGTAATAATTAAATAATCTCGATCTATATTTTATGTTTTAAAGAAATTTTACACTGAAATATAGGTGTGATAATGGAAAAATAAAGTATTTTTAATGTAACAATTACTAATATGATGGCTGATGTATTGTATCATGTAAAAGATTTTTCTTGCGTTACGAAAAATCACCCGAATCACTATTTATTAAAGAATTATATTTAAATCGATATTATTTCTTAGCATGTTTTTGTACATGTTTAGTCTTCTTTGGAGTTGAACATATTTGATACTTATTCTCATCTCGGGGTCGCTTACGAAATCCGGCTCTTTTGAATGATTCAGCTATTTGTTTTTTTGATTGAACCGCCTTTATTGTTTCTTTAACCATAGCCTAACATTCATAAAATATTTTAGTACAGATAAATATAACTGTTAGTGAAAGGTATGAATTAACTAACCTTAATGTTTAGTACAAATGCGAGGATTGTAAGGATGGAACAAAAGTTTTCTGCATTATCTGGAACTTCCATCAGCTCACCACGTCGATCCTACAAATGTATCCTTTTGGGTTGTTTAGGTAGACCGGCATAAACAAAAAACCTGTAAATTATGTTAGTTAACAGTGAGAAATCTGATGATTTTTACAGAACAAAAACAACATACCTGCGTGTATTATTCCAACCGTTTGAATTTTTGCACATGATACTTCATCCCAAACTGCTTTCTCCATCAATTTTATTAACATATCTTTGAGTGTCTTCAGAAGTTTTAGTCCTGTCTTCTTAAGGAACTTCGTTCTATTCTCATCTACCCAATTTTTTCCCGCTTTCCCAATCCCGAACTCTTGTTTATCACCATTAGTATTGGATCTCAGGATCCAATCACCTCTGCAGCCCATTTTCCGTCACTCTTCTGCAGACTTTCTTTTCACATTTTTCCTTAATGCTGATGCTAAACTTGTACTCTCTCCTTTGGATTGTTAAAGAATCCTTGTCAGATATTATCAAACCAAATTACATTAATAAAAGAAAAATTACCTGATGACAGATATTATTTTTAAATCATCGAAAGCTTAGTCAAGAATCACATTCAATATATGACAATTGAATCAGACTTCAAGCTTGACATCTTTCAAACGTTCACTCTGAATTTCCCTTACCCTATAAAGATAAATTAGCCAGTTTATTCTTAATATTATTATAAAATTCATATATAATATGCGATTCAGTCACAATATTATAATACTTACAATGCATAAATCGCAAAAATTATGTAATCTGTATCGTGATACTATTCATAATCATACTTATTGCTTAACATTGAATCCTTTATAATTTCTCTAATTTCTTTCAAGTTTGTCTATAACAAGAGAAGAGATTAATGACTTATTATGATATGTATACATTTGTTAGTTAAAATATCACCTTGCCAATAAATTTGCTTAAACAATCAATTATATTGCTCGAGAGTTTAAGTATTTATAGGCTAGATACACTATCAATTTCGTTAAATTTTACCTTACTAAAATGCTGTCTGATTTCCTTATTGTCAATATCCAAAATGAAAGAATGAACGGCACTAAAGAAATAAAACAGAAGTTAGTATAAATACTATTCTGAAAAACATTTATTTAAATACTGACCACTCAGATTTTATCCCTTTTTCCAATTTGAAAAGCTCTTTCTTAATGAATCTTCCTGTAGAGAGCTTTCACATTCTCTCTATTTTTATTTTTTTATATGTCGTCTTTATGTTTTCTCGATATTTTTTGGTGATGAAAGACAGATTCAAATACTTCTATGTAAATTAGATAGGAAACACTTTATATTAAATTTTAAGTATCAAAACTGAAATCTACAAAATGTTATCTACCTTTTTACTCTTTACATTATCTTTGTTGTAATTATTGTCATCTTTTTTATAATCATCACAATCATCACAATCATCACAATCATCACAATCATCATTATTTTTAAATGAAGCTGATTCATAATAACTTGCTTGATGTTGGTTTTGTTCATAATTATTGTTAACATCGATAGAAGTTGAGAAGAGCGATGAATCTTTATTTAAATTACCATTGTTCTAGATCATAGGACAGGAATAGAACATTTTAGTGTTCTTTAATAAAATTACTTATTTCTCAAAAATAAAAACCAGTAAATTACCTTTTATATTCTAGAATGAATTTCTATAGCTAAAGCAAATATTTCCTCTTCTTTCTGCACATGGACTATTTTTTTCTGTATATGATTCATGATCTATTGAAGATAAACAACGTTATAAGATTATCATTCTGATCATAAATCAACATCAGCTAGTCTTTCAATAAATATCAAACAACCTCATATATGAACAAGTCATATTTTCTATTGTATATCCGTTTATACATTATTTGAAGGTTTTCTAAAAGTTTCTTAGTTTCAGAAAGCTGATTTATAAAGGATTCTATAAGTGACACAAAGTGATAATTCAGTATCTCGTTATTGATATTCACCTTCTTAGCTTTAGCAATCCTTTTAGCAAAATTATGAATAGGTTGTGGTATTGATCTTTGCTTAACTATCCAACCTAGCGAGCTATAAAATACTGCTAAATATGTCTCTTATAATAGCAATTCACATTCATTTTTATAAATCTAATCGATGTAATATTTTATACTCTAATAACCTGCTTTAACTGATATAAAATAACTGTGTACCATAGGTGAATTTACTACGCAATCTTCTGTGAATTCCATATTGAAAAAGTATAACTTTTGGAGTAACTTGAGGTAGAAAGTTATTTAAAAAATGCTGTGTAAAATATTACGCAAATTCATGATTTTATGTGTCATTAATGGTAATACAAATTTTTATCTGTTAATTACGCAATAATATTGCATTTAAAATTGAAAATTGTCTAGGCACTAGTTCTTCGAAAAATTAAAATAAAAAGATAGATATTACAAAATCAGAATTAAATGACAGTAATTAGAAACTCTAACTCCTTAGTAAACAAAGGCTAGGAAAAATAGTTAACTAACACTAATTATCAGTAGAGTAATACTTTGTGTGGCTAAGTAGCGGTGAACCTCTAGAAATGTGAACTTTGCTCAAATTTATATTTATGTATAGAATAAGATGCAGTGAATAGATTTATAAAAAAAAGGCCAGTTTATCATGTACAAACCATGTGACTGTGATAAACTGAAGGAAAAGTGATAGAGGCTTTATGTAATCAAGTGGTAGTGAACTTCTAGGAATATGAACTTTGTTCAAATCTATATTTATGTATAGACCAAGAGGCAGTGAATGGATTTATAAAAAGGCCAGTTTATCATGTATAAAATAAGTGGCGGTGGTAAATTAAGTTCACTTCTTCTAGACGTTCTATGTGTGACCTATTAGTGGTAAATGTTTGGCTTTTTCAGAAAGACAAGTAAAAAAAAAGTAAAATAGACGTAATATTAATATTGCTATCTTATCAAATTTTCATATTCAACCATTCCTACTTATATATTTTATTATGTTACTTTTACTTATATAAACTATATATAGATGAAGTAATTTGAACTTACAGCATTAATTCAAGAGTATAAGTTATTATATTTAATTTTCACAATATCCTATTTTAGACTCACATTCAAGGAATTTATGAACTTCATTTATAACAATTTTTTTTATTTTTAGAAAATTAATCTGTAGATTATTTTTTTTTCCTCTCTTCAGATCTTGCGAAAGGGAATTCTTTTAAAGGTAGCTTATTCTTTTCTAACAATTTCTAATTAATTATTTTTTTTTTTAGAAATAGAATTATCTCTCTTCAGATTCTTGTAAAGGGTAATTCTTTTGAAGTTGTATTATTTCTTTTTTTTTTAAGAATCAAATTGTGAAAATTTGTATAATTCATAGAGTATAATATATAAATCAAACTATAATATATAAATCAAACCTAATATTTTTTTTATAATTATTAAAAAAAAAATAATAATAATAAAATTAAAAAAAAAATCAAATTATTTAATTAAACTCATTATTATAAACTATTTTTTATTCTTTATATTCATTATATTTTCTTTTTTTTTATCAATATAAATTGTTTCTTTTTTTTTATTTTAACAATTTAATACTAAATCATCTTTATTATCATATTGTTACCATGGAATTCTTCAACTTAGGATGGTCATATTATCAAGTCTCTACTCAAAATTTCTAACTGCGGCTTACTGCGGTCAAGACATTAGAATCTGCCTAACTCTTAACTTTACTAAATTTACATGTTGGACTTAAACAAATCTATCAAATATGAAGACTTGAAAGACGAAATTATAAACAATTTAATTAAAGAATTCAGATGACAAACTCAATTATAAATAATGTGTAGAGATCACATTAAACTATATGAAAATACAAAGAGGCAGAAAGATATAAGTTTTGAACAATTCCTTTATTAATATTAAAACTCAATTATTAATCTATAAAAGAGTTAATTTATAATATAAGCAAAAAGTCTATCTATTTATACAAAATTTCTTTTGTCACAGCTAACTAATTACTATACTATAAACTAACTAATTTAGTAAAATAAAATATAAATAAAATAAATATATTGAAAATAATAAAAATATGTAAAATAATAAAATTATAAAATATAATAAAAATAATAATAAAATTTAGAATATTAAAAATAAGTATAACACTAAATATTTTTTGACTTCATTTAATTCATAAAATTAGGATTATCATCAGTATTTGGAAGATCTTCAGAATTACGTAGATCTTCTATATTTTTAAAATTCGCAGAATTCTCAGTATTTTTAGAATTTTGGATTAGGAGATCATTATACTGCATCATCTACATGACTTTATTATGATTAGTCAATTACTCTATTGATAATATCTAGCAATAAATTATTATATTTAAATAACGATAATTTTAATCAAATTAATATTAATGTTATTTTATGATTTTTTATTTAACTAGTAATAATAGCATATAAAAATTTTATTTTTAAAAATCACATTTTTTTTTTAATTTTTACTTAAAAAACATTATAAAATTTATTATAAAAGTATTAATTTTTTTAATAATATATTTTAAAATAATTAAAAATAATTGTAATTAATAAATAAAATTGCTTGCAAATTTATAGACAAAACAATTAAAGAGATAATATCTATAAAAGTAATTTTTTGATTTATATTTATGAATTTTTTAAATAAGATAATTTAGAATAAATTTAGCAAAAAGTTAATAATTACAAATATCATTCAAAAAATAAAAGAATACAGTATAATTAAAATTTTCTAAATATCTATATAATTTGTTTAAAATTCTGTAAAAAAAATATACAATATCTCCTAAAAATTAACATATTATAAAAAAATCTATATATCTAAGGAGTTTAGACATGAAATAATAAAAAAATGTATTTTTTTGATATATAAAATTTAGTGATCATCTAATTACTAAACTATGTATGATATAAAGTTATAATTTTATAAATTATTAAGATTAGTATTAAACTTAAATTTAAAAAAAAATTTTAATAGATATTATAATTTAACTTTAGGAATTATGAGTAATTAGATACTTATGACTGCTATTATAATCAGTATTAATCTTTTAGACTAATAGACTTTTAAACTATTGAACTATTGAATTATTAGACTTAGTCTATTCTAATTCCATTAAAATTTGAATTATTGGATTATAGATTTCATTAAACAGTTATAAATTTATATATAATTTTAACAATATATTTATAATTATAATAATTATAATTTTATATAATATAAATCATTTTTATTTATATTTATTAGAATTTTTTATTAAATTTGTAAATTATTACCTAACATAAAATTTGACAAATAATTAAGTTCCCTTAAACTTTCAATAAAGTTTTCATTTGAAATT